CCTTTTTTCCATAGCGAGTCATTCAGTTCCAAGCATTCTTTCAACGCCCAAGAAGGGGCCTAGAATTCGCATTTTGCTAATGTTTTCTTGTCTGTTGTTTTGTCTCCGTTTATTTCTTCCCGTAGAAATTGTACAAATGAACATTTCTGCAAAAGTCTAAGAAAGCGCGTTTGGATTCAAAAAGGCTACTAATGCTTCATTACAGACCCACCTCTGAGGTGTTGGTGGTGACGGATTGGAGTCGTCGAGTAGGTTTCTACGATCTGGATGGCAATTCGGTCAAACGAGAAGATATGGTGCTAAACTACGATCCAACCTGCGTCGAATTCATTCCCAGTGGACAATTTTTACTGATCGGTGGCTCCGGACGCCAGGTCACATTACATACAAGGCTCGGTAAGTAATGATCGCTTATGAGTACGAAACAACTGAATTGTTTGCAAATACAGGCACAGAAATCGGTACGGTAGCCCAAATGGACACCTGGGTGTGGTGTGTGCGAGTGAGACCGATCTCGAATCCAAGTACGGTAGTGGTCGGCTGTGTTGATGGAACAATCGCGTGCTACAATCTCATGTTCAGCACTATACATGGCTTACACAAGGAGCGATATGCGTTCAGGTTTCTTTGGTAATTTCGAAATACGGTAACCAGTTACCTATCACGGCCCACTTCAGGGACAATATGACCGACGTCGTTGTGCAGCACCTGATTCATCATACGATGACACGAATTCGATGTCATGACCTTGTCAAGAAGGTGGCCATCTACGGCCATAAATTGGCGGTGAGTCCGCTGACCTTAGAAAAAGCTGAAGGTAGAGATCATTATGCAGACGTTCAGGTTCAACTCTCCGATCGCCTTCACATCTACCGGCAAATAAAGGGTGATGGTGAGAACGAGCAGCTTGAGTACACGCTGAGTGAACGCATAAACAAAGCGTTTGACTGCTCATTACTTGTGAGTTTTTGAAATGAGCCATTATCAAGATTCACTGAAGTCGGGGCTGTCGCAAGATACGGGGTATCGTTTAGGACTAAGCTTAGGAGAAGCAAAATTTTCGTGGAAATCTTGTGAGCGGTTCACCGACTCTAAGACTTCCTCCTCCTCGCAGTTTTGAGGCTTAGTGCGATGTGTTAATAAGAAAGAGATGGTTGTTTTAGACAGAGCGGTTTCAGATACAATGTCGCTTCGCAATGCCCTCGTGTGTGCGATAGCCGCCACAAGCTGCTGACTTTTCAACCATTGGCTAGTACCGTGTTCCGATCATGTGTTGCACGCCGCAACAAAAAAAAACAAAAGATATTATGTCTCATTAATCAGCGTTTGTTTTTGCAAATTAAAGAATCTCATCTGTAAGGCTTCCGCGGCCACAGGAAAGTGATCTTGATAACCTCAATTTACGTGCATAAAATTAATTGATAATAAATTCAAGTAATTGGGCCAGTGGTTAACACACTGACGGTAGCGGCGCCTGGAACCACGTCTTATAGGTGTTGCTATGTGTGAGCTGGAGAAATAAAGTGCAAAAAGACAAAGGACAAGGAAGGTGAGGAATACGAGGAAACGAAAAAAAATGACATAGGTGTGTGGACGGCTCTTGAGTCGAGCTGCACTGGGCCACGTGTGTGTCAATTTATATATTGTTTTTCATGAAGATTTCTGTGAAATGCAGATTAACAGCACCGTAAATTGAATCGCGATGAAAATTACTGCCTAATGGCACATTCAGAACCGGATCAGCAATATTCAAGTACAAAACAGTAAGCGCTAATTGGCTCATCAATAAGAAAAAAAAATGAAAGCAATAGCCAATTGAAGAAGCATTTCTGGAACAAGTGTTTCTTACTTCCGGGTGAGCTTGCGTGAGGGGAGTTGCAGACGCACTAGGGCTCACGCGAGAGAATAGTTTCAAAGAGGGAAAAGCACAGCAGGCCGGCTAAGCACAGTTATACCAGCGGGAAGCGGTAGCGAAAGGGTCCATCCCTTGTTTTGGGCCGTTTTTTGGTTTTTCTAGCAGCAGACAGTATCGGGCATCGACTCATCAGATCTCGTAGCTTTTCTATTCCCTTCAGTCATCTTCCTTTCATTTTCAGGTGGTCTGCTCAAATCATTTGATCCTCTGCGACGAGCGACGTCTGCAGTGCTACGATCACAAGGGCCTAAAACAAAGGGAGTGGTCGCTGGAGTCTGCTATACGATACATAAAGTGAGCTACATATGCATTAGGTATAGAAACATTCTCGAGTCACATTAAAATGATGTTTTGAAAATTTTCAGGTGATAGGTGGCCCTCCTGGACGAGAGACTATTCTCATTGGTTTGAGGGAAGGGCAGGTTCGTGAGGAACAATTTCTATTTAACAGCAAATACTTAGTTTCCCCATGTTTCAGGTCTGCAAGTTGTTCGTTGACAACCCGTTCCCAGTACAAGTGCTGAAATTAAATGGTCCGATCAAATGTATAGACATAAGTGCAACAAGGTTCTTCACAGATTGTTTTGAAATAATAGATGTGCCCAGTGAAGGAATTGTTGATAGCTCTTTTTTGCTGTGCCACGAGTTTGTTTCCTTTCAAAAACGTGAATTTTCTGGAGGCCTGCACAACACCCTGATGCCTTGGTTTCGTTGTGGGGAGTCATCTGATCTAGGAAGTGCTTATTGGGAGTAGAAGTAGGACTTCATACCAACGGTACAGCGTCAAATCGTGGACCGAATCTGGCCCATACCAGTCTAGCCTCCCATCCTTACGGTCTAAATTAATTGGTAGCAGTTTTATCTAACAATGAGCTGATAACAGGAAAACGGCATCGACTTGCACATCGGCTGGCTCCCGCCGGGTCTTTTAAAGGCCTAATCGCTTTAACCCATTGCGGACCGCGTGCTGCACCATGTGCAGCACGCCACCACGCGGAGAAGGATAGTAATCTTCGATTTTTTCAGCATTTTGCTAAGTTACAAAATCAGCAGTTTACTTTTTCAGACACAGGATATATCAATATTTGCGTACTGGTTAAATTTTCGATAGATTATTGGCCACTGATAAAAGAGATGACAAAAACCTACGGAGGTGCAATTATAACGGCGGTCCGCAATGGGTTAAAAATCAACTACGATCCTGAATAGAAGTAGAATGCGTGGCGGGTCCCAAAAGAGATTGGTCAACAATGAATTCTTTGCCTTTTTATCCTTCAACGTTTTCTTCGGTTTTTAGCTAGTTTGTTTTCTTCAGGCGACATATAGCCGTTGTGGACGACAGTGGTCTTTGCGTGGTTTTCGATGCCAAAACGAAAGAAGTCTTGTTCGAGGTACCACAGTTCTACGAGTTCGACTAAAGATGTTAGCAATTCAATGACAATGGAAATGTTTTACTTTCAGGAGCCGAACTGCAACAGTGTGGCATTCAATAGCGATAATGAGGAGATTATCTGTTATTCGGGTAGTTCCAAGCTAACCGTTCGAGCCAGAGGATATCCGGGACATCAGCAGAGAATGTTTGTGAGTGGCATTGCCTGCGAGTTGAGGAGTTCAAAATGGCGCTGACCTGCTCGCTACCTTCCCGTCATTTCATAATCCTTCCATGATACGGTTAATTTTTTTACAGTAACTACAACACTTGATTTCAGGGGTTTGTCGTTGGATTCTCTGGAAACAAGGTTTACTGCCTGCATATCTATGCTATGC